TTCAGTGACTCCATCTAGCCACCTCATCCTCTGCCATCCCCTTCTTCTTTTGCCCTCAATTGTTCCCAGCATTAGGCTCTTCTCCAGGGAGTCCTTCCTTCTCATTAGGTGGCCAAAGTGTTTGAGTTTCATCTTCAGTATCTGGCCTTCTAAAGAGCAGTCAGGGATGATCTCCTCTAGGACTAACCAGTTTGATCTCCTTGCAGTCCAAGGGACTCGCAGGAGTCTCCTCCAGCACCACAATTCAAAGGCCTCAATTCTTCAATGCTCAGCCTTCCTTATGGTCCAGCTTTCACAGGCAGACATTGCAACTGGGAAAACCATAGCCTTGACTATATGCACTTTTGTTGGCAGGGTGATGTCTCTGCTTTTTAGTATGCTGTCTAGATTTGCCATAGCTTTCCTCCCAAGGAGCAAGCATTTTTTAATTTCTTGGCTGCAGGCCCCATCTGCGGTGATCTTGGAGCCCAAGAAAATAAAATCTCTCACTACCTCCATTTCTTCCCCATCTATTTGCCAGGAAGTGATAGGACCAGATGCCATGATCTTCATTTTCTTAATGTTGAGTTTCAAGCCAAGTTTTGCGCTCTCCTCCTCCACCCGTATCTAGAGGCTCTTTAGTTCATTTTCACTTTCTGCCATTAGAGTGGTATCAACTGCATATCTGAGGTTGTTGATATTTCTCCCAGCAATCTTAATTTCAACTTGTGATTCATCTAGCCCCGCCTTTCTCATGATGTGCTCTGCATGTAAGTTACATAGGCAGGGTGACAGTATACGGCCTTGCTGAACTCCTTTCTCAATTTTGAACCAATCAGTGGTTCCATGTCCAGTTCTCACTGCTGCTTCTTGACCCGCATATAGGTTTCTCAAGAGACAAATAAGATGGTCTGGTACTCCCATCTCTTGAAGAACTTGCCACAATTTGTTGTGATCCACACAATCAAAGGCTTTGGCATAGTCAGTGAAGCAGAAGTAGATGTTTTTGTGGAACTCTCTAGCTTTCTCCATGATCCAGCATATGTTGGCAATTTGATCTCTAGTTCCTCTCCCTCTTCAAAACCCTGCCTCACCGATGTAATTCTGGTAGTTCTCGGTCCACATACTGCTGGAGCCTAGCTTGTAGGATTTTGAGCATCACTTTGCTAGCATGTGAAATGAGTGCAATGGTGCGGTAGTTTGAACATTCTTTGGCATTGCCCTTCTTTGGAATTGGAATGTAAACTGATCTTTTCCAATCCTGTGGCCACTGTTGAGTTTTCCAAATTTGCTGGCATATTGAGTGTAGCACTTTTACTGCATCGTCCTTTAGGATTTTGAATAACTTGGCTGGTGTTAAAAGGGCCTTCCAGGTAAGTGGCACTCCAACTTTTGAATCAGCTTCCGCAAGACACCTGGAACCAAGTCACTATCTCTTTCATCACCAGGCGAAGATATTTCTATTTACCAAATATTTTAATAGTTTGAGTAATTTTCAGAGAATGTTTATATGGTATTTGTTGTATTTTAGTGCCTCTGTGCTCTTGGCTTAATTTGTATTGATGCTGCTGGTGGGTTTTATTGTGGGTTTTACTGTTATCTTTTCTAACCAGTCTTCTAAATAATTTGTTTATTTCTCAGTATTTTCCCCAAACTTTCTGACAAATGTTTGGGAAAGTCCTTCTAATTCTACAATTGGCTATAATGGCAAGATTGATGGCATAAGGTTTTCCTTATACTTATTCCGAATGTATATCATATTCTTAAGGAAAGAATTTTCCCCCTGATAAACTACTTCATGCTGTGGCCAGACAGCTTATTTCTAGTCCTTGTAATGTGCAGCCCATACCTTGCCAGCAGTCATTCTTCCAGAAAATGTAGCCCATGGTCCAAGAATCCAGATCCTTCCTGTTGACACGACCTTTGTGGCCAGGCATTCACTTGAAGCATTTTTCTTTCCCTGCCTATTCCTCTTCCAAGAACAGGAAGGATTGAAGGGAAAACTAGCTGGACCCCAGAGTTCTTGACTTTTGCCCCTAATACTTCAAAGTCTGACGTGATTTCTTCAAAGCTCTGCTTGGCAGTGCCATTTATTCCCACATGAATAAGAAGAAAAGGATCCATGCCAGTGGCGTGTATGAGCCTTGACAATCTTTCAGTTATATCACTGATCTTTGCTCCAGGGAGACTGCATGCCTGATGAGTATGCCATCTTGACGTATGTGTGTTTCCATCCCACACAACAGGGCATCTCCCACAACTAACACTAACCTTCAGCCTCTTGTTCAGTGTTGCATGGGATGGCTTGCAGCTCTTCCACAGCAGGCTGCTCGAATAACTGAAAGCAGTTTGATATAAGACATAAGTGATATAAGATGTCAGTGTCTTTGATATAAGACACTAATTCTACTGGTGTCTTATAGTTCTTCAAACGTAGAACAACTGTCACCCTTTTTCAGGGAATTTTCTCCTCATTTTCCTTTCCTTGAAAATTCTTAGTTTGCTATAGTACTTCTAGCTTCTGTACTACTCTCAGCTATTGCATTTCTATTGCTCGATCTAAAAACTCTTCATTTTCTTTCATTCCCTTGAGGGTGGTCACTCACTGTTCCAGCGCTCTCACCTTTTCTTCCAGCATGGCTACATGTTGCATGTGTAGGCCATGTTGACCTCAGGCAAGAAAACAAACCTTGCACAGACACTGCAGGTCACCACCACAGGGAAGTCTTCTCAGCCCATTCTTATAGCCACCTTTTTTATTCTAGCTTGCAAGGCCTGTAGCTTCCCCCTGAACCAGTACTTCACCCTCTCTTTCCTGAAGGTTTCCAAATGCAAGTGTGTACCAATGAGGAAAATTGGCAGGTGAAAACTAAGGAGAAAAAAGAAAAAAGTTAGGGACTTTTCCCCCCAACTCCTGTATCCAGTAGTCCCAAGACCAGCTGGGGCAGCTTCCTTTGATCTGCTCAGCTAGAAGCCAGGAACCAGACATTGTGGAGATCAGGGCCGTTTGGAACATGCCATGTACCAGTGCAAGATGTGAGTTTCACCTCTGGTTTCTGTGCAGTCCAAATAGAAACAGAGAATCAGAGTGAGTCAGAAGGGGCCTCCTCAGCCATCTAGCCTGACTCCCGGCTCCAGCCAGCTCCTCTCACGACATGCCTACCATATACATGTCTAGCCTATCCTTGAACACCCTCACCGATAGGGCCTCAACCACCTCCCGTGGGAGCCCGTTCCATACCCTTGGGGTCCTAACTGTCCAAAAGTGTTTCCTGGCATCGAAATGGAACCTTGGTTCCCTGAGCTTTGCTCTGTTGGAGCGTGTCCTGCCTTCCTCTGCAGGGAAGAACAGGTCTCTACCCACCTCTGTGTGACATCCCCTCACATACCTGTATGTCGCCAGCAGATCCCCTCTGAGTCTCCTCTTCTCCAGGCTGAAGAGACCCAGTTCCCTCAGTTTTGCCTCATACCCCATCCCCTGCAAACTGGCCACCAACCTTGTGCACTGACTCTAACCTGGCTATATCCTTCCTGTAATACTCCGGTTGCGGGCGCACCAGAGTTGTATAGAGTGGAAGTAATATCTCTCTCAATCTAGAAGCCACACTTCTGGCTATACAACCAAGGGTGGCGTTCGCCCTCTTAACTACCACATCACACTGCTGGCTCATGTTCAGGCTGCAGTCAACCAGCACCCCGAGGTTCCTTTCACATGTGCTGCTCTCCAGCCACTTCTCCCCTAACCTGTGCTTATGACAACTATTCCTATGCCCCAAGTGCAAGACCTTGCACTTATCCACATTGAATGCCACCCTGTTGTCTCCTGCCCACTTCCATAGTCTGTCCAGATCCTTTTGGATCTGGAGTACCTGCTCCTCAGTTGTGGACACTGCCCCAGTTTTAGTATCATCTGTGAATTTGATCAACAGACTATTCACCCCTTCTTCCATGTCATTCATGAAAAGATTAAACAGGATCGGCCCCAGGACAGAGCCCTGGGGGACCCTGCTTGTCACTGGCCACCATCCCGATGATTCCCCACTAATGGTTACCCTCTGCTTTCAGTCAATCAGCCATGCCCTAATCCATCGAACAGTGCTTTGGTGTATCCCAAAACTCCTCAGTTTCTCCACCAGGATATCATGGGGCACTTTGTCAAAGGCCTTGCTGAAATCCAGGTAAACCACATCCACTGCATTCCCTCCATCCAGCCACCTCAAAACCTTGTCGTAGAATTCCACAAGGTTTGTCTGGCAGGATCTGTTTTTGCGGAAGCCATGTTGTGTGGCTGTCAGCCTCTCTTCCCTATCTAGCATCACTAGATGTCTCTCTATTATGAGCATTTCCATTGTTTTTCCTACAATGGACATCAGGCTAACTGGTCTGTAATTCCCCATGTCCCTTCTACTACCGTTTTTGAAAATTGGGACCACTGACGCCACCCTCCAGTCCTCTGGAACTTCACCCATTCTCCACGAGGCCTCAAAAATGGAGGCCAGCGGGCATGAAAGAACCCCTGCCAACCCTCTAAGTAACCCTGGACCAACAAAGAAGAAGGCCAAGACACAGTATAATGGGCTCAAGCCACAGGGAGCCAGATGCTGGCTAGATATCAGGAAAGATCTGTATAACAATGGAACCAATTACCAAGGTTGCTTGTGGGCTTTTCCATTCCAGAGGCATTTGAGATGCAACCAGAGGGATGGTTTAGCTGGAAGTCATGCAATGCATAGGGGATTAGACTCAATGTCCTCTTCCAACTCTACTAATCTATGATTCTATGAAATGAAAAAGCAAGAATCTGACTTGTCCAAATGGGCTTTCAGTGGGATCCAACTGTGTAAGTACCTCCAGCGGTATCTTGCCAGTTGCTGCTGGAATCCAAGTACTGAGCAGTTGTTCTGATTGGAAAGGTGCTTGTTCTCTTCAAATACGCAGCATTGCTGATGCATGCCCATTGATAGGGTTTCCCTACCCCTGCATCCTTGGCACAGATCCCTTCCTCTCCCATTTCCTTTCAGACCAACATCCCCTTCCTGCAGAACGTACTTGGCAATGATCAATTTCTCCATGGCACTGTGGACACTCAGTTCATTGATGAGAACCCTGACCTTTTCAATTTGCGACCTGGTCAGAATCGAGCCCAGAAACTTCTTCATTATCTAGGTATGTGGGGGAAGATAAAAGGGTGCATATATTCACGGAGGGCACATACTGATTTGAATTTTAGCACCTTGGATTGGGAGGGAAGGAAAATCATCTTGAAATAGGTTGCAGATAATAATGGAAGGAGAAGTACCAAATAATGGAATGAGAAGTAGAAAATAACAGAAAGCCATAACCTTTGACCTAGAAGCCCTTTCCTGGTATGTGAGAAGTGACAAATATGACAAGTAATATGTGAGAAGTTTGTGTTTTGCTTCACACATCCCAAAGCTCTCAAAATAGGTTCTGGTACTGGAAAAGCCCTTGACTCATCCTGTGGATTGGCAAGATGGTGCTGCATTATGTTATACTCTCTCACTATAACAGAGCCTTTTCTTTCCAGGCCACGTCATGGTAAATGGCCCTACCACACCCATCCCAGTGAATGCCAGGCCCTCACCAATTGATCCAGTTGTCCCTTCAGTTCCTTTGGGTGAGTTTGGGTATCACAGAATCAGAAAGTTGGAAGTGACATTGGAGATGTCTGGACTGTATAGCAAGGTGGGTCTAAGTACCCACCTTTGAGTTTCAGTGTCTGGCCTTTGAATTTCTCACTTCTTGCTATGAGGTCACCATGGCCCACTATCAGCTGCTCCTATGGGACAAAATTGAGGTCATCTATAACCATCTCCCTGATGTCTACAGGGAACTGGCTTATGTGTTTCAGTCAGAGGCCTTCAATGGGGAGGGTCTCTTCAGGGCACACATGAATGAGCACATGGACTCCCTGCAGAAGACCAAGATGACAAGGAGGATGGGTTTCCAACAGTTGTCCACTAGACCACCAAAGTTATTTGGAAGTCCCAACCTCCATTCCAGTACAAGGCCAATGCCAAACACATGTCCAGGTCCCAAGCAGCACCCCCAGACCAGAAGGTATGACACCATGGTAAGTTTTAAGCATGCATGAAAGTGCCCAGGGCCAGGTGCCCCCCTAATTTTGACAAACATCTCACTGCATGGGAAGCAATAATATTTGACTCCTGGGTCCCTTGTCCATTGAGGAGAGAGGCTACCTGGTTAAGTTTTATGCTGCTCAATACCATAAGGAGCATAGCTTTGTCCCCAATTTTGATGTTGGAGGTTCACTTACTACTTTCTACAACAGAGAAAGTAGTCTCACCTTTCTTGATGCCTCAGCTCTCATTAGTTGCAGTACCAAAACCAGATGGTGGACCAAGACCAATTCTGAACCTCAATTACCTATCACACCAAGAAAATTCAGAAAGGTCACCCTTCAGCACATCCTACCTGCCCTGCAAGAGGGAGACTGGTTTGCCTTGATCAGCTTGAAAGATGCCTACTTCCACATAGACCACAATTATTGACACTTCTTACCTTCTAGATTAGAGATACGAGGGGCATTCAATGTATTCTTGGTATCAGCATGAAGAAAAAGGAATAATAAATTGAAATAATTTTTATTTTTCAATGTAATCCCCCATAACTTTAATACACTTATTACATCTAGAAATTAACTTTTCAATTCCCTGTAAAAAAATAGCCTTCCTCCTTGTCTAAAACATGTGCGTTGATTGCCGTCTTGAGCTCTTCATCGTCGGAAAATCGCTTTCCATGAAGATCTTTGTTTAAATTCGGGAATAGGTAGTAGTCACTGGGGGCCAGGTCCGGGCTACAGGGTGGGTGGTTTATTTCTTCGAAACCACAGTCTTGCACAGCAGCCTTCGAAACACACGCCGTGTGAATGGGTGCATTGTCGTGAAGAAGCAACACACCTGCGGTCAGTTTTCCCCGCCTTTTTTCTTTAATTGCTTCTCTTAAATTATGCAGAGTGGTTGCGTAAGATGCTGCATTTATGGTTTCACCTTTTTTCATGTATTTGATCAATAAAATTCCCTTTGAGTCCCAAAACACTGTGGCCATGATTTTTCCGGCCGATGGAGTGACTTTGAATTTCTTTGGAGGGTCAGCACCTTTTTTATGCCACTGCATGGACTCCTGCTTGCTTTCAGGGTCATAGTGATGAACCCAAGCTTCATCTCCAGTAACAATCTGGTCAAAAATACTTGATGGATCTTCACCACATAGTTCTAAAAACTCCCTACAGCACTCGACTCGTACTTGTTTCTGAGGCGCCATGAGCATTCACGGCATCCGCCTTGCACAGACCTTTAAAAGGTTAAGATGGTCATGAAAAATAGTAAATATGGTACCAACAGATAGGTTTGTCACCTCTGCTAACATTTTATTCGGGCATCTTCCAATACAAGTTTCTCCATTTTTTTCACATTTTCTTTCGTAGTGACAGTAACTGGCCCGCCCGAGCGAGGGTCATCTTCAGTGGTTTCTCTGTATCATAGAATAGCAGAGTTGGAATTGAGTCTATCAGGTCCAACCCCTGCTGTTGCCCCCTCCCACTCAGATGTAAAGCAAGTATAGGCAGTCAGCAGTCTGCCAAGAGGCTGGGGAGCCAACAGAAACGTTTTCCTTGAGAACCAGAAGCAGGACAAACCCATAATATTCAACAGAGAGTGAGTAAAAAGGCTGCTGATGTAGCAGAGAAGCAAAAGACATTTCATGAGTTGTGACTAAAGGGGCCCTGTGGACACAAGATGGGAGGGATAAACATAGAAACAGAGCGAGTCAGAAGGGGTCTCCCGGGCCATCTAGTCTGACCTCCAGCACCAGCCGGCTCCGCTCACAACATGCCCACCATGTGCATGTCCAGCCTGTCCTTAAACACCCTCACAGATAGGGCCTCAGTCACCTCCCATGGAAGCCCATACATAGAAACATAGAAACAGAGCGAGTCAGAAGGTGCCTCCTGGGCCATCTAGTCTGACCTCCAGCACCAGCTGGCCCCGCTCACGACATGCCCACCATGTGGACGTCCAGCCTATCCTTGAACACCCGCACCAATGGGGCTTCAACCACCTTTTGTGGAAGCCCATTCCACACCCTCGGGGTCCTGACTGTGAGGAAGTGTTTCCTGGCATCCAAATGGAACCTTGGCTTGCTAAGCTTTGCTCCATTGGAGCGTGCCCTGCCTTCCTCTGCAGGGGAGAACAGGTATCTGCCCATCTCCATGTGACATCCCCTCACATACCTGTATGTCGCCAACATATCCCCTCTGAGTCTTCTCTTCTCCAGGCTGAAGAGACCCAGTTCCCTCAGTCTCGCCTCATATGACATCCCCTGCAAACCGGCCACCAACCTTGTGGCCCTACGCTGCACTGACTCCAACCTGGCTATATCCTTTCTGTAATGAGGGGCCCAAAGCTGAACACAATACTCCAGCTGCGGGCGCACCAGAGTAATGTAGAGTGGTAGTAATACCTCTCCTGATCTAGAAGCCACACTTCTGGCTATGCAACCAAGGTTGGTGTTCGCCCTCTTGACCACTGCATCACACTGCTGACTCATGTTTAGCCTGCAGTCAAACAGTACCCCGAGGCCCTGAGTGGCTGCTCTCCAGCCACTTGTCACCTAACCTGTACTTATGACAGCTATTCCTATGCCCCAAGTGCAAGACCTTGCACTTATCCACATTGAACACCATCCTGTTGTCTCCTGCCCACTTCCATAGTCTGTCCAGGTCCTTTTGGATCTGGAGTACCTGCTCCTTAGTTGTGGCCACTGCTCCAGTTTTAGTGTCGTCTGTGAATTTGATCAGCAGACTGTTCACCCCTTCTTCCATGTCGTTAATGAAAAGATTAAACAGGATCGGCCCCAGGACAGAGCCCTGGGGGACCTCGCTTGTCACTGGCCGCCATCCCGATGATTCCCCGCTAATGGATACCCTCTGTTTTCGGTCAGTCAGCCATTCCTTAATCCACCAGACAGTGCTTTGGTGTATCCCAAAACTCCTCAGTTTCTCCACCAGGATATCATGGGGCACTTTGTCAAAGGCCTTGCTGAAATACAGGTAAACCACATCCACTACATCCCCTCCATCTAGCCATTTCGAAACCTTGTCATAGAATTCCACAAGATTTGTCTGGCAGGATCTGTTTTTGCGGAAGCCGTGATGTATGGCTGTCAGCTTCTCTTCCCTATCTAGCATCACTAGATATCTCTCTATTATGAGCCTTTCCATCATTTTTCCTACAATGGGCATAAGGCTAACTGGTCTATAATTCCCCATGTCCTTTCTACTACCCTTTTTGAAAATTGGGACCACTGATGCCACCCTCCAGTCCTCTGGAACTTCACCCGTTCTCCACGAGGTCTCAAAAATGGAGGCCAGTGGGCGTGACAGAGCCTCTGCCAACTCTCTAAGTACTCTCGGGTGTAACCCGTCAGGGCCTGGCGCCTTTGTAATGTCCAATGCCCTGAGGAGCCCCTCGACTTCAAGGGGGGTGACTCTAATCTGTGCCCCTATGTCGCCAGCCTCATCTAATCTCCTATGAGGATCTCCCCCATCCTGCTTTGGGGAGAACACAGAGGCAAAATAGTCATTTAGCTTCTGTGCCTGTTCCCCCATATCAGTCACTGGATCTCCTTCCTCCTTATTTAGCGGTCCCACTACTTGTCTCCCCTTCCTCTTCCTATTTACATGCTGAAAGGAACCCTTTTTGTTGCTCTTGATATTTTTTGCAAGTCTCAGCTCGTAATCGGCCTTAGCCTTGCAAAGAATCCTTCTGCAATGGACCTCCTCCTCCCGGTATACCCTTTTGTCTATTTCCTCCAGTACCCATTTCCTACGGGGGTTCCTCTTGTGTCCTAGAGGAAAGAAGCACAAGCCCCAGAGAGATTGCTTGTCAGCACCATCCGGGTGAGCTAGCCACATCGCCCTGTTCTCAGGGTGTCCTGTCATGATTTTCAGATAAATACAACTTTGTGTAAAGAATTTTCTTTGCCTGTCCATATTACCTGCAGATTGCCTCTGGGTGGCCAGTATTCTGAGAGGGAAAAAAAACTTCTCTACCTTCCTTCTGGAATGCAAGCCTAGCTTTTAATTATGTCCTGTCTTGTTTCTGCAATAGGTCAGCCACCCACAGGTTTTCGGGATGTCCTTCTCCGTGAGGGCCCTTCAGGCTTTGCAAAAGCCATTCGTCAGCATAAGGGCTTGCTCCTGATGGATACCACCTTCCGGGATGCTCACCAGTCACTGCTGGCCACCCGCGTCCGCACCCATGACCTGAAGAAGATCTCTCCCTTTGTAGCCCACAGCTTCAGCAACCTCTTTAGCATTGAGAACTGGGGAGGTGAGAAGCTTCTATCTGACCATCTCATTTCTATTTCACTTAATAGCTGGAGCTCTATGGGCAGTTCACAGTAATTAAAACCAAAAAATTGCATACAAGATGCACTATAACAGTTTAAAACTACAGTACAAAATAGAAGTAAAGGCCAAACTAAAACTTAGAGGAACAAGGATTGAAAATACAGTAAAGGTTTTAAAGCAACAGAAACAGAAAGATTAATTTTTGTGGGGAAATAAGAATGTTAATACCTGACACTCCTAAGAACTGTAGCTAGGCTATCCCTGGCCAGTAATATCCCTGCTGCTGATATTTGAGACTAAGCTGGTAAAAGGTGTTCTATGCCATCTAGTCCAGCTGTTCCTCTAGCAACAGCAGTAGATCCAACTACAAGCCCAATCCTTTAGAGGGAGTACAACCCCCTCCAGAATCTAGAACAAGGATAAACATCACTTAGCCAGGCATTAAAACCACACGCTAACAACACCTCCAGCATATCTGGACTCAGTTTGTTGTCCTTCATCTGGTTCATGACCATGCTCAGACCCTTATTCTTCTGGGTTTGATGAAAAGGAGGGCTAGAACTGGGTGTCATCTGCATATTGGTGACACCATATCTCTGGATAGCACCCACAGCAGTTGCATGAAAAGCATGAGAATGAAACAAAGCCCTGTTTGTTTCATTCTCATTCAGCACCCAATACATCATTACTACCAAGATGCAGAGCAATAATTTCCCCAGAACCACCTTCATAGTAGGACCAGAACCACTGAAGCACAGTACTTCCCACTCTCAGCCCAGACAGCCTATCTGTCAGGATGCCATGACCAGTGGTACTGAAAGGTGCTGAGAGCTCCACAGGAAGCAAAGGGCTTTCCCCCATCCCCTCTTGGCAACGGTTATCCCATGGGGCAGCCAAGAGTGCCCAAAGTTGGCTGATAACAACCAACTCAAGCTTCTTTGCCAGGAAGCTAATATTGGCTACTGGTCCAAGAGTTGTTATCATAAACTGAACCCAGATGAGGCTTTTTCAGGAGTTGCCTAATTGCTTCCTCCATTAAAGAGGCCCACTGCCTCTCTTAAGAAAGAATCTATGACCTCCTGAACCTAGCTTGATAATCCTCTCAGTATCAGAGATAATCAATTATGGACAAGAAGGCCAAGTCAGGCAAGCTTTGCTAAGCATGTTACTTACATCCCTTGTCTTCAACAACTGAAACTCACAGAATGAAACTGAACCAGAGATTGCTGTGACCTACTCTCCTAATGGAAAAACATTCAATTATGTCCATTTCGAGATGGATCCAAGCAACTCCATCTGAGCAATTTCAAAATATTAGGCAGAATTTTCACAGCATGGCATTGGGGGTTCCATTGTTTCCCTCCCTGGCTTAGATTAATGCAAGCCACAAACCATTCAGAAAAGTTCTTGTTCTTGATTGACACCAAGAAGATGCAATGGTGGTGGAAGAGCTCCATCTTTTCACACTCAACAGTACAGAGTAAGTCTGATACTGAGCTCTAACTCGTATTTGGGCAGGTTCAGTATGAGTTATCTTCCACCTGTATTCTTGCCATCTCCTTTCATCATCTTCATCAAGTAGCTATTGAAGGGAGAGGGTGCTTGGTCATGATCATATCTACAACCTCATTCACCTCTGCTTTCCACAGAAAGACTCAGTGTCAGGATGTTACACAAGATCATTCATACAATTGTATTCTTGATCATTATATATGGGGGTGAAAGCTGGGCAGTGAAGAAAGCTGACAGGAAGAAATATGATGCATGTGAAACATGGTGCTAGAGGAGAGCTTTGTGAATACCCTGGACCGATAGAAGGACAAACAAGGGGGTCCTAGATCAAATTGAGCCAAAGCTTTCCCTGAAAGCAAAAATGACAAAACTGAAGCTGCCCTACATCAGGCACATCCAGAGAAGGCAAAACTCCCCTGAGAGTTAGGGAAAGTTGAAGGTAGAAGAAGAAACAGAAGACCAAATATGAGATGGGTGGATGCCAGAGCTTTGAATCTACAAAAATTGAGCAGAGCTCTCATGGATAAAATATTCCTGAGAACTTCCACTCATAGAGTCACCATAAGTCAGAGATGACTGGATGGCACATAGCAATAAAATAATTATTTTGTTATGACATGTGAACCTGGCCATAGTGTTGGAAGCACACCTGCAGACCTGACAGGAGAAATATAGCAAGGACTACTCTAGTGTCCATTAATTTCATGGATATTAATTTTGCTAAATAGAGTCACCTAACGATTGTCCCTTAGAACATCCTTTGACAATGGATACACTTGAGAGGAGGCCGTTAAAGGGGGAACTTGGTACAGTGGTACCTTGACTCATGAACTTAATCCGTTCCAGGATTCTGGTCATGACCCAAATTGGTTGTGAGCCAAGTTAAATTTCCCCATAAGGTTCAATGTAAATAAGGTTAATCCATTCTGTAACCAATTTTTAAATCAGAAAAATGTGAAGCAAAGTGACAACAAAGATCGCGGCCATCTCCCTGCTCCCGCAGCACAACCAATATTGCACCTGTCATCCCTGCATGTGCCCATCATCCTGGCGCACTGGGGGTGGATGGGAGAGACTGGCATGATTGCAGGCCCACTGGGGGAGGGAGAGATGGGCGCAAACAGTGCACTGGGGGTGGGGTTATGGCCTCATCAGTTCCATTTGTTCAGGGAAGGCATGCCTGATCATAGGCGCGCTCCTGCAGGAAGGACAGGTGGAATCCCAGCCATCTCCCCCTGCAGTTCTGCTTTGCTGCTCCTGTCTTTCCTTCAGGAGCACACCTCTGATCACACACACCTTCCCTGCATGAACAGAACTGCAATCGTGGCCATCGCCCCACTTGGGGCTGGGGGGAGATGGCTGCAATCTTGGTCACCACTCAAAGCAGTGTTCACAGCCCAAGTCAATTTTTTACAGATATTTTTGTTCATGACTCAATTTGTTTGTGAACCAAGGCGTTCGTGAGCTGAGGTACCACTGTACTCACATTGGTGGCAAACCAGTAGGAATAATTCAGAGCCATATAGAAGACATTCAGATTTATTGTGGCTCTTGCCTCTTGGCAGAGCAGCGGAGCAGCGGAGGCACAGACTGGGAGAGAGTGCTGAGGGTGGCCAGGGGACTGGCGAAGGCAAGGCGGGAGCTGGGCAGAGAAGCAGAGGGACAGGAGCAGCAGAGAGGAAGGGAGGTGGGGCCAGAGAGGCTAGAGGGGCCAGGAGGGAGCAGAGGGACGGGGCCACCAGCCGGAGGGACTGATAAGGCCACACTCAGCCCTTGTCACGTCGTTTCTTGTAGCCCAGGCAGCCTGGGGACTCCCTTCCTTGGGGTGCAGGGTTTTTTTTCCTTCCCCAATTTAAATTTTTATTTTAACCTTGTGGCGGGGTGGGGTTGGGAAAACTGGGTGAGTGAGCAATAGCGCAGGAAAGGCAAGCGGGGCGGGGGGACCAAGGTAGGGTCTCTGATGGTTTCTCAATGGCAGGCCAGGAGATGGCCTTGGTGGGAGTCACGGGTGTTGCTGTCCGCTGTGACAGCTGTAACAGCTGCAACATGTTTGCCCTTCTCCCCCAGGAGAGGCAGGGTTACACTTGCCTTCGGTGCAAGATGGTGACCCTGCTAGAGGAGGAGGTGAGGGGCCTGAGGGCCGAGAGAGCTCTCCAGGACCTCTGGGAGCAGCCCCCCTCTGGACAGAGGGTTGAGGGAAAGGCCACGGGAGGAGCAGCCGGGGAGACATGGAGGTGTGTCACCCACAGGAGGAGGAGGCCAGCATGGCTTCCTCCTCCTGGTGCTGATCTGGAGCTGGGAAACAGGTTCTCCCTGCTTGGGGAGGCTGGGGCTGATGAGGCCTCGGAGGACCAGCAGGAGCCCAGCCTGGGACCACGGGCCGCAAGGGGGCCACTGCAGGAGAAGCAAGGGCCAGGGGATGGCTGCCCACCACCACCAGGAAGGCACGGCAGCGGATGATTGTTGTTGGGGACTCTCTGCTGAGGGGCACTGAGGCAGTGGTGTACCGCACCAACCTGGAGACAAAGGAGGTTTGCTGCCTGCCGGGTGCACACATCCAGCATGTGAAGGACAGAGTGGAGCATCTTGTTTGCTCCGGGGGTCACCAGCCACTCCTGGTGATCCATGTGGGCACAAACGACATGGCCAGGAAGGGTGTGGTCGGGATCATCAGGGACTTGGGGAAGAAACTCGGAGCTAAAGGCCCACGTGGCCTTCTCATCCATCTTACCATTCCGGGGATTTGGGCCAGGCAGGGACAGCAGGGTCTCCGAGGTGAACGACTGGCTTAGCTTTGGCTTCCTTGACCACAGCACCTGGTTTCTTGCCAATGGACCTCTGGCAAGGGATGGCTTACACCTCACGAGGATGGGGAAAAGGTCCTTTGGAGATGCTTCAGCGAGCTAATCCAGAAGACTTTAAACTGAGCCGGGGGATTGGGTTGGTTCAGGTCCCCCAGAAAGGTGTCTGAACTGGACAAGTGTAGGGAGAGGATCAGGGCCCTGGGAGCAGGGTTTTAGAGGTACTGCAGGGACTGACAGGACTCCTACAGAGAGGGGCCAGGTATCGGGGTGGATGGGAGGAAGGAGGAGGCTGGGAACTCCAAGGAAAGGAAGCAGTGGGAAGCAGTTGAGGTGCTGCAATGCGAGGAGCATGGGTAACCAGCAGGAAGAGCTTGAAACTCTTCTGGGAATAGAAGGGTATGACTTGGTGGGAATCACAGAAACTTGGTGGGATGAAAGGCAAGACTGGAATGTAAACATAGAGGGATATTCACCTTTTTAGAAAGGACAGGAAGGTAAAGAGGGGTGGGGGCATGGCTTTATACATCAGGGAAGGGATAGGATGCAGTGAGATAGAATGCAGCACAGATAGGGGTTTGGTAGAGGCAGTCTGGGTGAAACTTAGGGGTTTTGACAGGGAAAGAGACCTGACAGTGGGGGTATGTTATCGCCCTCCAGGTCAACT